AAAGGAATCTGTGGAGATATTTGAATGTTTACATCCTAAACGGATATAGCATTAAAAAAATGATTTTAAAAAGTCTCCCGTGAATGTCACCCGGAAAAAAATAATAGGATTACAGATTGATAGTTCGATTTATTTCATTCCGATAAGAAAGAGAATCAAAAAATCTATCACGCAACGAATGGTATCAAATATAAAAGGCGGGAATATGCTTTATATATGTAGTAACATATGTGTGCCTTATAGGATACAGTGGGAAAAAATTTGCTTACCCTTTGAAAAAGTGGGAAATAAATCGAGGCTCACGATTAGGAAATCTCAATTAAACAGCTTTCCATTTTTCCTTTGTGGAGATTAGTTGAACTCACACACATTTTAATGGGAGGATTTTGTAAGTTCAAGTATTTGCAAGAAAGCAATCTGTTATAATCCGTGCTAATAGGAATATAAACTTAAAAAACACAGTGGATAAAATAAGTAAGGGTTTATAGTAAAAAAACCACTATAATAAGAATAAAGGTAAGTTATGCACAAGGTCGTCGCAAGTCAATCCAGTAGTGAGTGCTACTATTAGAAGGTTGGTAGTTCTCGCGTTAGTCTGAGTCGTACTCAACAGATCACAGCTCGTAATATTTAGCAACCTCCCCACGGGGTAGGATGTGACACAAGGCCGAATTTAATGTGGGGCAATCCGAGCCCGTACGATCGGCCAAAAAAATCCCCGTAGACCCAACATAAACAGGATCGGGTCTGTCTGCCTCCCAGGATGCGACTCTGCTATTCGACATAGCCTCGTCCGGGTTCCACTCTGTCCGAAGACAGAGAATTCGACAGCACAGCTGGAAAAGTTTCCAGCTAGTCGGTATCTATCAATTGCCCCACGCAGTCACATATGGCACAAGGCCGAATTTAATTTTGAGCAATCCGAGACCGTAGGCTCGGCCAAAAATTCACCGTAGACCCCGCATAAACGGGATCAGGTCTGTCTACCTTCCCGGACAAGACTCTGCCCTTAGTCATAGCCTCATCCGGGTTACTCTCTGCTCAGAGGCAGAGAGTTTGACTGACTAGGTGAAAAGATTTCTGCTAGTAAATATTTACTAGACACCAACGCTCCAACGAGGGTAGATGTGGCACAAGGCCGAGTTTAATGTGGGTTTTCTGAGACCGTAGTCTCGGCAAAAAAAATGCCCGTAGAACCCTCATAAACAGGATTGGGTCAGTCTACCTCCCCGAACGAGACTCTGCCCTTCGGCAGAGCCTCGCCCGGGTTCCTCTCTGCTCAGAGACAGAGATTTCGACCAGCAAGCCGAAAAAGATTTCGGATAGTCTCCATTAACTTACAGATACTTATAGGTAGTTACTACCTATAGTTTAGTCACTCATGGGGATGACAGGTTATTCCATTACATCACTATCACTTTAAAAAAAATCCATTGATATAAAGAACGGTTACAATGGAGCTTCAAATGTAAGATTAACCCTATGTGATGTTTCTTTCCTTTCTGCAAAAGAAATTGTCTGATATAGTATGTGTTTACCTCATACAGTGTTTACCATAAATTCGTTCAGTTTAAGTAAAAACAAGCAATCATGAATATCAGTGTTGCCAGAGATCCACTATCTTTAAGGTCTGTTTCATAGTAATTCTTAGCTTCGTTGAATATGGTTTCATTGAAAGAATTGTCGGAAAGCCCGTGGTTAATTGATTTAGGTATCTGCTTGATTATAGATGACGGCTGATTGGACGATGTCTGTCTATACAGTGGTTTATCATTGGATTTTCAGTATGATTTATCTGTACCTTTTCTTAGGTTGAAGGTGACATCTAGAAATTCTATTCCATTTAGGTTAGTTTTTATGTCTATGTCGAATCCCATATTTTTGAAACTCTTTATTATTGCTTAGTTTTGTCTGTGTTTTTGTTTGTGATAGTTTCTTAAGATTATGAAACTGTCATCCCTGTAGAGTCCTATATCGTTTCTATCTATTATTTTACTTAAGTCGTGTAGCAAATATATACCTATAAGTTCGCAGGTCACTGCACCGTCAAAGCTTCCCATTGTAGTGACAAAGATCCCTTCTTTATTTATCCATGAATTTTCAAAGTCGAATAGTGATTTACAGGAGTGTTTAATAATTTTGATTTCGTTTGTGTTTATTCCTATTTGTTCTTATGCTAAGGTGAACGCCTTATCTAGCATGGGTTCTGTTATAAAAAAGGTAAAATTCTTTTATATCTAGTTATATAAATTGGCAATTATGTTTGTTTTTATGTTGCGGAAACAGTTTGTAGTTGTTTTTGTGTTTTTTCACTGATTTACTCCTAACTTCTTTAGTTCTGAATTAATTCTTAGCTGGACGTGAGGTGATACAGTTTAATGCCTAAGAAACTAAAGTCAGTGCGAGATTTTTTTGTTATGTGAAAATATATATATATATATATATATATATATATACGTTTAGTTTTTAAATTATTTTGAATTGGGACTGAGATATATATAGGAAATAGGAATTGAAAATGCAAATGGAATCTTTAAGAATATTTATTTAGACTAACTTTATCAGCTTCACATTTTATGGACTTAAGAATGCTAGATTATCGCTCTATGTAGGATAGACAATTATTTCCGGTTTTAATAGAAGTAGAGAAGTAGATCGATTGCTCCCTTTTTAGGATTGGGTTTCCGCTTCCTTCTCAAACCTACTTTAACTCTATACTTTTAATGTCTCCTCCTAAAAACTCTAAAATTTCATTGATTTTTATTTATTTATTTTTCTCGGTGATAGTAGATAAATTAGCCTTTCGGTTCTCTTCTCCCTGATCTTTTGAACGGGAGTAGAGGTTTATCCCTTGTGTCTTGTTAAGGATTGGGTCCCCGGTTCCATCTAAAATCTACTTCAAGTCTATACTTCTATTGTCTCTGCCTAAACTCTGGAATTTTATGTAAATATTTGTTCATTTTTCCTTAATCAGGAGTAGATAGGTTCGCCTATCTTCCGTTTCACACTACTCTTCTGTCTTTGTTCCATATTTAGAATTTGGCCTCCGATTACTTCTAAAATATTTTCATTCTCTTTCACTCCCAAAAGCCCAGTGCATCTTAGTGGCATTATCGCCTTGCTTTCGGAATAAGTGATAAAAAAAAAAAATGAAGAGATAAAGTTTGTTGTGGTCAGAGAAACATTCTCTCGGGAGTCTGTTTCATGAAACAGTGGAACTAGGGAAGAAGATGAAACATGCTTTTTGCCAATGCAACACGAAGGGGTTGAAGATGGTTCGCCTCTCTATGGCGTGTCTAAGCTGTAAGGGTTTGAACAGGTAGAACTACGGTATGTAGTTAAACAGAACATTTGTTCACTGTTCCTTCGCTCCCTGGACATTAGACTGGTATAAATGTAGTATCTGTTCACCATTTCTTTGCCCCCTTCCATCGGACTGAGATCAAAATGTAGTATCTGTTCTCCCTTTCTACGCTCCTAGGACATCGGACTGGGATCAAAGTATAGTATCTGTTCTCCTTTTCTTCACTCCCTGGCTCTCGGACTGAGATCAAAATGTTATCTGTTCTCCTTTTCTTCGCTCCCTGGACATCGGACTGAGATCAAAATATAGTATCTGTTCTCCTTTTCTTCGCTCCTTGGACATCGGAGTGGGTTCAAAATATAGTATCTGTTCTCCTTTCTTCGCTCCCTGGATATTGGACTGAGATCAAAGTATAGTATCTGCACTACCTTTCTTCGCTCCCTGGACATCCGACTGGGATCAAAATGTAGTATCTGTTCTCCTTTCCTTCGCTCCTTGGACATCGGAGTGGGTTCAAAATATAATATCTGTTCTCCTTTTCTTCGCTCCCTGGATATCGGACTGAGATCAAAGTATAGTATCTGTTCTACCTTTCTTCGCTCCCTCGTCATTTATCTTCAATCAAAATGAGAATTGAGCAGGATTGATCAGGTGTCATCTGTCAGACAAATTATAATTCCATAGTATTTTTTATGTTTGAAGGCAAAAATCTCTTCTTCGTTCCAGTCTTCAGTCTTTGCAGTCTTCCAAGAAATTAGAACATTTTTACTAAAGAGAATTCTTTAAAAACTACGAATTATAGTAAATAGAATGAAAAAATATCTGTTGCAGGATGCGGAAGACACAGCAATAAATCTTCAGCAAGTTTTTCTCCACCGAAATAACAAAGGATAGATAAATAGAGAGGTATGACTAGGAGTATATGGAAATAAAGTCACATAGATAGATAGATAGATAGATAGATAGATAGATAGATAGATAGATGAACACAATGAGACAGATAGATTTATTCTAAGCTGATTAAGATTAATTTAGTCTTTTTAAGGCAGATATTTTGAAACACACTAGAAATGATGGAAACGTAGCTCAATAGAAAATGATAGACACACATATTAAGGCACAAATAAATTGATAAATAGATTTTAACGGGCATAGATATGAACGGATACATACAAATATATATATATATATATATATATATATATATATATATATATATATATATATATATATATAAAAGGGAACATTGAAGTCAACACACAGAGGCGAAAGGTTTTTTCATGCTGGACGCAATCACTTTTATATTTATATTTATATACGCTCTATCTCTGATATTGAGCATTCTATCCTATAAATATAGCACACCTTAAAACTATATTTCTTCATAGATAGATAGATAGATAGATATGAACAGATATATACAATGATAATGACCAGCATGAAATAGACAGATATGAACATATAGATAGATACATAGATAGATATGAACAGATAGATAGATAGATAGATAGATAGATAGATAGATAGATAGATATGAACAGATAGATAGATAGGTATGTACAAGAGAGATAGTAAGTAAAGATGATCCTTGACAATACATACTCTCTTAATGTGACGTATCATTAATGATTCCTCTCTTAATTGTTTTACTTGGCAAAACCTCTTCTCTCATTTCCACTTTACTTTCATTTTCAGGATGTTCTTTTTTATATGCATCGAACCCCCACCCCACCCTACTCATCACCACGCCCCCCCTGCTCACTTCTCGCTCTTCTTTGCTTCGACCACCGTCATTATTGTGGATAAAAAAAAATACTTTTTTTCCTGAACTCTTCACTTGACAAATCGCCTTCCTTCGACGTTTTACTTATTTTTGTTCCGCTTCTTTCATTTCTTTCTTTCTTATTTCACTTTTCTTCTTTTTGCCAACATTTGAACGAGATTAATCCCACCCACCCGACACACAAAACTCTGGCGTTTGTATTAGTTGGATAATTATGCTTCTAATCTCATCCTCATCCTTTTCTTCTTCATCATCATAATATTCTTCTTCTTCATCTTTTTTCATCTTTTTTCTTCTTCTTCTTCTTTTCTTCTTCTTCTTTCTTCTGTTTTCTTCTTCACCTTCTTTCTTCTTCTTCTTCTTCTTCATCTTGTTCATCTTTTTTCTTTCTTCACCTTCTTTTCATCTTCTTCAGCATCATCTTTCTTTTTTTCTTATCTTCATTTTATTTTTTCTTTCTTTTTGTTCATCTTTCTTTCTTTCTTTCTTTCTTTTTTCTTTCTTTCTTTCTTTTTTCTTTCTTTCTTTCTTTCTTTCTTTCTTTCTTTCCAGCCTTCCATCTTTCTTTTTTCTTATCTTTCTTTCATTCTTATTTTTTCTTTCTTTTTCGTCTTCCAATTTTCTTTCTCTGTTTCTTTCTTTCTTTCTTTCTTTCTTTTTTCTTTCTTTCTTTCTCGACTTCCATTTTTCATTCTTTTCTTTCCCGTCTTCCATCTTTCTTTCTTTCTTTCTTTCTTTCTTTCTTTCTTTCTTTCTTCTCGTTTCCTTTCTGTCTCAGTTCTCGTTTTCTTCAACTCTCACCCCGACATTATCATAATCAAATTGTTCAAGTTGTTCTTGTTGGTGTTATTGTATAGCGGTTTTAAAAACCTCTCAATGTCATTCTTTTTGACAGGTCATGACCCTTTTCACTTGTGAATTATCTCTCCCTAACTTCACACTTCCATCTTTAAATCCACCTCCTTTCTCGCGTCGTTGTAGGCGTTAAGCCTTTATCAACACAACATTTATATTATTACGATTATTAATGAACAATCAAAACATATCTATCTGCTTGTCTTTGATGGGGATCAAGTGAAAACAAATCTTTTTACTTCTCCAGCACTTTCCGCAGTATTCCCGGAGATTTCAAAAATAGTGTTGTTATCTGTGCGTTAGATTTTAAAATTTCTTATTTCATTGATGTTCCCACATGACGTCTGGTGATTTTAATTGAAGACGAAACAAACAGCAAGTCTTCTAAAAATCTACCATCTTCGTCGTCAATTCCAAAGACAATTCTTTGAATCAGCAACACTTGGACTCTTTGTTTTCCACAGGTTTCAAGTCGGAGAGACGAGTTCGAATTTCAGTCGAGTGAGTTAAATTTCCTTGTGCGCACACACCTTTGGAATCCATCTCTTCTTTAATTCCCCTTATCTGTGGGTTAAATAGTAGAAACGGTATTATTTACATTATTCGGACTGTTGTACTCATTTTCATATTCACAACGTTTCGGCCGTTGTACGCTCCTACCTTCTTCAGGTTATTGGAATTTCGAACCGAAGATTTTATTTTGTTCTACTTCCACGTGACATGCCTCTTTCGGATGTCTCGGTCATTTCCCTTTTACTCAACGCTCCGAGTTTCGGTTCACCACTGCTGTGATTTGGTATTGAACACACAACTCTGGGTCTAGTTAACGGATCTAACGTTTGAAGTAATAAAAACACATCGGATTAGTCTCTCTCTCTCTCTCTCTCTCTCTCTCTATATATATATATATATATATATATATATATATATATATATATATATTCAAAAAATTTCGCTTGAAGATGGAAGAGAGCTTACTTTAACTCAATTTAATTCAAATAATTATATTGAAGTTTTCGGCTCTTGTTTTGAAATATGAGACCTCTTATGTCGCGATTTGGAATCATATTTTTAAATAAATAATTATATTTATGCTCGAGTATCGAGCACTATTTTAAAAAAATAATAACTAAAATACAAAGGGACTTTGGATTATTCACCTAACCAGTTCCTTCCTATTTTCTATATATTTTCCCAAATTATATATATATATATGTATATATGTGTGTGTGTGTGTGTCTGTGTGTGTGTTTGTGTGTGTTAGGGTATTAAAATATTTTATGAAAATAGGTGGGGGTCCTTTTATAATTTCCTATGTTTAGCACGCACAGGTTCACAAATGCAAGCCACTCAGTGAGGGTCGAACACAATACTCAGTATCAACAATCTTTGAAACCGGCTTCTTAACAATTACTTCCCAGTGAGGGGTCCTTTAAAGTGTTTCATGTGCCTTGAATAGGGTCACAGGCGCGAGTCACCCAATGAGGATTGAAGTCACTTCCCACAAGTAATTTGTAAGAGCACCTTTCAAGTCATTACTCGATGACAAGGTGCCCTTAAACCATTAAATGCCTAACGTAAAATCCGGTATTATTAAAAATTAGTTTGTTATATATACTAAAATTCTACCATTACAAGGCCCAAGAGTCACACAGAGGGTTACTGGATGAGATTGTTTTGGAGGCATATATGGACATACCGGGTGTAACAGCAAATTGGTCCAATTGTTAGATTAAGCTCTGAACCGTTGTATCTTAGAAATTCTTACTAGAATTCTCCGAGGTTTGTATAGCACTAGTAGACTCTACTGTGAGCAATAGGAATATATAATTACTCTCCAATCTTAACAGAAGGATTATGATGAAATCTATCATGAACGAAAATGACATGTTCATCAGTAATTAGTCATAGCTAAGGATCGGAAGCTCATGAAGGATTGAAATAAAGTTCAACATATATATATATATATATATATATATATATATATATATATATATATATATTCATGGATTATTTCCCTACTTATTCAAGATGATCTTTGCCCTCTCTAACCTTCTAACTTTCTGTCCTGGAGTAACAAAGTGCCTCACCTCACACGTTTCACGTACGATTTCATTTTCAAATGTTTTTTGTTTTTTTTTTTCACTTCTCTTTGGACTGCCATAGCTGAGACTCCCCTCTCACGTGCCAAAAGTCTTATGAATTGAGTTGGATCTTTTCTATATTGAGCTCTAAGTTGAAATGATGATTCCTCTTACTGTTGTGATCTCTTGATTCAGTTTTCCTCTCTAGTGTTTCCTCTTTTTAAAAGTTATTCACCATATAAGTGATGGTTCTTGAATGGGCTTTGGAGATGGAAGCCAGAGTATGAATGCTGGTAACATTACTGAAGGCCTGAACGATCTTTGTCGTCTCACCCATGCTCAGATGGGAAGACATAGTGGAGATGACACAAAAAGCCTCTTTACAAAATACGTCAATGAAATCTGATCTACAAACTGATTTCCCACAAAGAATACATATATATTATTCTATCCTAAAAATCTTGTCGGCATAAAATAACCCATTGAGGTTCATATACCGTAAAATAATTCAAAACCAGACCCAGCCAGCTAATTTTGCCTATCGTATGGTTCATTCTTCTCCCATGTTTTTTGAACAGGAGTAGAGGTTTATCCCTTGTTTAATGTTTAGTACTGGGATTCCAGTTCCTTCTAAAGTTTTCTCATTGTATTTCGTTCCCAGTAACCATTTGCGGCTTAGTTACATTATCACTTCGCTTAGATTGAATTGATTTTTTTAAAATATGCCTGTTCACCAATTACCTTTTCTTCATTATGTGTTCAAAGAATATCAACTATGTTTTTCTCATTCTAACTATGGTAATGTCCTGAGATACGAATGTACCGACATACGAATTTTTTAGATGAAAGCCGGAGTTCGGCCGATTTTTGCCTTGAGCTCCGAACTGAATTTTGAGATACGAACGAGTTTCAGTCAAGCGTCGGCTCATTAGCGCAGTGAGCGCCAAACTTCCAGAGTCTTTTCACCCGCAGTACACGTGTTCACCTCTGCTCTGGAAGGATCTCTCTTGTGGTGTGTGTGTGTGTGTTTTTTCTTTATGGACACCATGGATCCGAAGACAGTAAACATAAAAAAACAGCGGTGAAAAGCCGAAACTTCATGGTTTAAAAAAGATTATTTCTTTACAATTTTTTCTTCTATTTTTTGTTTGTAAACTACATTTCTTGTTTATTCACACGTTTTTACTTGTAAGAAACCCACAAATAAAAAATGGCGGCGACACTAGAACCATAACCTATTCGAGTCAAAGGTCAACCTTTATCTATCTTCTTTATCCTAATAATCTACACTTTCTACCACCTCCATATCACGCACCTTATTTATTATTAGCATTTCAACAGTAAGTGTCTAACTTGAGTGGCTCCCAAGCCATATGTTGCCTTAGATTCTAGTATAGTAATGCCTTAACATACGAGCGTACCAGCATAAGAGATTTTTGAGATACGAGCGGGAGTTCGACCGATTTTTGCCTTGAGATCTGAGCTGAATTTTGAGATACGAGCGAGTTTCAGTCAAGCATCCGCTTGTTAGCGCAGAGAGCGCCAAGCTTCCAAAATCTTTTCACTTGTATTATACGCATAAACATCTCTCTGGAAGGATCTCTGTTGTATTGTGTCCATTTTTTTGGGGGGGCCTTATTTTGTAGATTTCTTTTAGTGACACCATGGATCCGAAGAAAGTAAATGTAAAGAGCAGTAATGAAACGCGGAAACGTATAATTTCGTTTGATGTAAAGCAGGAAAATATAAAAAAAAAAATAAAAAAAACAAAACAAAAAAACAAGACGTACAGGTAATGGATTTGGCGAGACAGTATTAGCGTTCCACATCGTCGATAAATAAAAAAAAATTATAAAACTGAAAAAAAAAAAAAATAGTTACAGTAATGGATAAAATGTAAATATTTTTAAAAAATTTAAAAATTAAATGATAAAGTTAATCTTCGGTATGGTAGAACGAGCTAGCCGTTGCTAGGCTTGGTTAGCGGTTGCTAGGCTAGCTGTTGTTGTCCCTCCCCTCTCTCTCTCTCCCTCTCTTTCCCTCTCTCTCACTCTCTTTCTGTATCTCTCTCCCTCTCTCTCTCTCTCTCTCTCTCCCTCTCTCTCTCTCTCTCTCTCTCCCTCTCTCTCTCTCTTTCTCTCTCTCCCTCTCTCTCTCTCTCTCTCTCTCCCCCTCTCTCCCCCCTCTCTCCCTCTCTCTCCTCTCTCTCTCCTCTCTTTCCTCTCTCCCCTCTCTCTCTCTCTGTCCCTCTCTCTCTCACTCTCTCTCACTCTCTTTCTCTCTCTCTCCTCTCTTTTCTCCCCCCTCTCTCTCTCTCACTCTCTTTCTCTCTCTCCCTCTCTCTCACTCTCTTTCTCTCTCTCCCCCCTCTCTCCTTCTCTCTCTCCTTCTCTCTCCCTCTCTTTTTCTCCTCTCTCTCTCCCTCTCTCTCTCACTCTCTATCTCTCTCTCTCCGCCTGTTGGCCTCTGATTTGTCTGAACTTCATGATTTAGTACAGTTTATTTCTTTATTTATTTGTTTTTTTATCTTTTATATTTTGTAAACTACAAAAATTTTCTTGTTTATTCACACGTTTTTGCTCGTAAGAAACCCACAAATACAAAAATAGATGTGAGTTTAAGGAAAATAAGGCTAATTTTTAAAGGGGCTGGAACGGATTGGAAATATTCCCATTAATTTCAATGGGGAAAATTGATTTGAGATACGAGTCTTTTAAGTTACGAGCTCTGTCTTAGAACGAATTGAACTTTTCTCTCAAGACATTACTCTACAAGTCTCCTTTTTGTTCCCATTCTCCTTAAAATGTCCATGGTATTCTCAGCATCCTTCTGTAGAACCACATTTCCGTTGCTTCAAGTCTCTTCTTCAGCTGTCAGGAGATTGTTCATCATTCATTGCCATAGAGGAAAACTGATATCACGTAATAGTTCAGCAATCTTTTCTTTGTGTCTAACAATATTTTTCTATTTCTTAATACTTTGCTTAGCTTTTGAAAGGCATCTTTCGCTATCCCAATACGCCTTCGGATTTCCTTGCTGCGTTGCCCGTTCTATATGTCTTCTAAGCCCTATTCTGCCATGCATTTATTCAAGCTCACTAAGTATGTTATGCGTTTTTTTTTGTTTTTTTTTTTGTTTGTTTTTTTGTTGTTTTTTTTTTCATCTGTCCCTCTTGCCTTCATTCTGTCCTGGCAGTATCAAATTTTCCAAGCTCTCTTTTCTCATCATGTGACCTAGAAATTTCAACTCTCTCATCCTGATGTTATGTATAAGGGTCCTTTTTTTTTTCGTCGTTGCTCACAAGATTATTCCATGGTATTCTAAGCATCCGTTGCTTCAGTCTCATCTTTATCTGTCCGGAGATTATCCCGCACTCACTGCCATATAAGATACCGATATCACGTAACAGTTCAGTGACCTTTTTCTTGTTTCTAGCGAAATCTTGAGACTTGTTACTGACCTGGGTATGACGATAAACTACCTCCGGCAGCATATCCTCTGACTGAGAGATTGGAAGTTTTGAGGAGCGTGGAACCACTTCTTAATTGATGTTGTTCCCAGGTCTACCCTGACTGGCGGTGGTAGCACCTCTTAGGGTCCCAGATATGGGCAAATAGTAAACCTCTTTGAACACTTTGAAAGTATAAGAATACATTTTATAGCAAAATGGCCAACAATACATTGTATAGTAAAATGACCAGCAATGCATTTTATCTGTAGTTGAAGACATACAATTGCGTTTAAAATATATTTAGTTAAAGCCGTACAATTTTTTTTAAGATTATTTAGATTTCGGCATTTAATAACCCATGGAGGTGTTGATATGCCGTTAAACAAAACCAACCAACCCCTGTTTGTTAATATTTTCTCAATTACAATGCGCCTTCAGTGTTGTATTTTCCACTCCCTGTAATTAAATTTTGAAAGGGGGCTATTTTGCTAATGCCCGTTAAATAGACAAACACACTTTTAAGCTTATTTTACCGGTCTCGGTAAAATAAACTCCCAATTATTTTACCGGTAAATATTTTTATTATCATAAAGGCAAGTATAACAACAAACAAATTTCGCTATCAAATGTAAGGCGATGGGGAAAATTGATTTGAGATACGAGTCTTTTAAGTTAAGAGCTGACTTTGAACGAATTAAACTATTATCTCAAGGTATTACTGTACAAGTCTCCCATTCTCTTTAAAATGTCCATGGTATTCTCAGCATCCTTCTGTAGAACCACATTTCCGTTGCTTCAAGTCTCTTCTTCAGCTGTCAGGAGATTGTCCAGCATTCATTGCCATAGAGGAAAACTGATATTACCTAATAGTTCAGCAATCTTTTCTTTGTTTCTAACAATATTTTTTTCTATTTCTTAATTTGCTTAGCTTTTGAAAGGCATCTTTCGCTATTCCAATATGCCTTCGGATTTCCTTGTTACGTTGCCAGTTCTATATTTCTTCTAAGCCCTATTCTGCCATGCATTTATTCAAGCTCACTAAGTATGTTATGCTTTTTTTTTCATCTGTCCCTCTTGCTTTCATTCTGTCCTGGCAGTATCAAATTTTCCAAGTCCCCTTTTTTCATCAAGTGACATTTTCCACCCTTAGTTCTTGAAGTAAAAATTAAAATCATTTATTCATCATCAAATATTAAAAGAAATATAAAAGTCCCTGAATATGTTAAACACTTCAGGCATAACAGTATCTGCAAATCCCAAACTTGCCCTTGGGCATGGTTCTCTTGCCAATGCACTTCAGGGGCACCCACTGAAGACAACAGTCACAGACTACAGAATCCATATTGTTCAAGTCCTGCCTACACAGCTCACACAACCACTGCGCTGACGATCTCAAATATAATGTATTCATTGGTCTTAAACACTACATATATTTACCGGCAAAATAGACTTGGTGTCTATCTGTTATACCGGAACATACCTATTCTATTGTAAATAGACTCTCCCACAGATAATAAGTAGTAGTACTAGCAGTCGCCAGGGGGCTGAGTGAGTTGGTGAGTCAATCGATGTCGGACATTAAAGTATCAACCACCACAGCTAGATTGCTGCGTCATTAACTCTTATTTCAAGTTCCTAACGTTTTGTACGTCGAACCTTTTTTAGGACCGACTTAGTGAAATACAAGCCTCTACTGTGAAAACTACTCTACAACACTATCTGACCGGGATAGGCAGAAAAACCTATTTGTATTTTTATATATATATATATATATATATATATATATATATATATATATATATACATACAATGTCCCCCATAATATACTCACTTTTGACGACCTCTAACTTTTTAAATGTTTTTTTTTCTTTTTTCAAATCCAATGTTTTTGATTTCAACAACAAACAACGCGTTTCAGAGTAATTAAATATATAAAATGGCAACAATTTGCCCAACGCACCCCGTACACGTCTCTTGCTAAATCACCCACTGGAGACAACAATCACAGAATCCATATTGCTCAGGTCCTGACTACACAGCTCAAACAACCACTGCATTGACGATCTCAAATAGATAGATATTTACTTGACCCCCCACTGAGTCAGGTTGTGACACAAGGTCAGTTTTTAACGTGAGGACCCGAGTGTTTTCAGTCGGGCCGCTGATCTAAGCTGGTCTTAGGTGGTCATAGCTTGTCGAAGCTAGCCAGTGCTGGTATAAGCTAGTCAGAGCTGGTCTTGCTTGTCATAGCTGGTTCAAACTGGTCAGAACCGGTCCAAGCTAGTCGTAGCTGTGATACCACCAGCCCAGGGACGGATCCCTGTACCAGTTAAGTGTCACTGACGGTCCCAAATATAATATATTCTTCGTTCTAAAAGACTATATTTACCGGCAAAATAGTCTTGGCTTTTATTTTACCGAGACCACCAAAATAGTCTATCCTTTAACATTTTTTTTTTTGATGTGGTACCCGTTGAGGTTCGAACTCACGGTTGAACTTATTGTTTTTTTTTGTTTTTGTCTTGTTTTTTTGTTTTTTGTTCCTTTTAATTCATTCTCGATGCACGTCAGTAACGATATGAGACGCCTGAGTTTTTGCAGGGTCAAAATGTCATGACGCGAAAACAAAGTAGAAGGAAAAATTGACAGAAGGATGAGAAAAAGGAATGCAGTGGTGGTGGGAAGGGGTAAGTAGCTGCTTTGTATTCGATCACTTCAGGGATCATCTTGGGGATTCACTTGGCTGTCTATTAGACAGACACTTGCATCCCAAAAGAGAACGAATGATGACACTTGCTGTCATCTTTAGATGTGCTTGTTTGACAACATAACTGCTAATTATCCTTTGCCCGATCTTTTGCCAATACAAGACTTGCATACCGAAGCATGCGTGCATGCATATATATGTATATATATAGATATATGTGTGTGTGTGTGTGTGTTTGTGTGTGTATGTGTGTGTGTGTTTCCTGTTTCTCTGAATACTATTTTTGTGTATATATGTGATTGAGTACACAGACTGTTTCTTAAAAACGTGTATCTACGAAAATAACGTTTACAGTCATAAGAATTAATTTCGGATCTAAAATAAAAAAGCAGTTAATTTCTTAGTGCATATGCCGAGTGTAACAGGAAAAATTGTCCAAATCATGTAATGTGAAAATTGTCCACCCCACAAAGTGTTAAGTATCTAAAAAATCACTAAACTAACTCGGTTTCTTTTTTCCCGGTTTTCAGATAAGACGTTTAGCCAACTTGAGATTATTTGTTGCAAGAATCACTGAAAAGCCCTTTGAGCTATTCAGCTAGGAAGAGAACAGGTTAAAATTGTTTTATGTCAGCATAAGCAATGGTGAGAGGAAAAAGATCATTCAGGCCTTTAGTAATGGTAACAGCATTTATCCTCTGGTTTTTATCTTGAAAGTCCTTTCAACATCAAGTGGGATCAGCATTTCAGCTTTGAGCTAAATGCATTCTTATTGTTCCAACAGAAACGTGCTTCTACAGAAGGATGCTGAGAATACAATGGACTGTAGTGTTATAAAAACCCCGGAGAATTCCAGTAAGATATCTTTAATCATTTCTAAGATACAACGGCTCAAAGCTTAATCTATCAATAAGACAATTTTGCTGTTACATATATACATATCATTTGTTGAATATGACGGACAAAGTAAAATATTTCAGTTTTTTTATTTAGTTTTTATTTAATTTTTCCAGCTTTTTTTTTTTTTTTTGATAGCGGTCACAGAGTACAAATACTGTCTATAGCTTCTATTATCCCAATCGCTTTCGGCCACTTATTCATTTTCAATTGAGCTTTGTTTTTAGTGCGGTTGTTTTCTTTTCATATTTTGACTGTGTGGGATGTATTATTTGTGTGTTTTTTTAAATACTAGCATGAGCTTTTAGTAATGGCTGCGTGCTGAAAAAGTTTTTTTTAACATAGAAAGTGGGTTCATTTGAATTCCAGACACATCCTACATACTAAGACTATGTAACATGTTCTTTGAAGATGT